GACGAGGGTATGCAACTAGAATGTTACAGAATTTTCATGAACAATCGCTTCATCTGTTCTGCCAAGCCAAATTGGTTTACGTAACATTTGTGTAAAATGTACTTGTATAAAAAAAAAAATTTGTTATACAAAATAATACGTGATGAAAGGTTGTCAATTATCTATTTTTAAATTGTAGTCTTTCTAATTCACAAAACAGGTAAGTTATTAAGTTTGCTTGAAAACAAGCAGTCTCGATGCCAGACTTGGTTTCCACTGGGTTATAATAGCACTGCTAAAATTTCACCTCGTCTCAGACGTTAGCGCAAATGCCCCAGGGGCCTTGGTCCCGTCAGTAAGAACCCCGTCTCATTATCCACCCAGTCTCTTGTTAGAAAAAAGTATAAAAAATAATCACGGTGTTTCATTCCTCAGCCTCTGTGGTTTACGTTTGGCTTCTTGACAGCTTCGAAAAAAAACGCCAAGAGTCCTCAAGTTGGTTGGCGTTGAGAAACGAGTGAATCGTACGGCGTGGTGTTTTGATAAAGTGTAGGTGCCATTTTGGTTATCTAATCTCAAAGTTTTGGTTGTATTTTAAAACATTAATATATTGGCTTCAGGAGGGAAATCTAGTTGGGCTACGGAAACTATCCTTCCGAAGACTGATTATAAGTATAACTCTTAAATAAAATAAAATTGTTTTATTTTCTACCTACGTGACTTTACTGAAAGAACCAAAGAGTGGATTCCTGCAGTCACGAAAGCTTCAAATCAAGACTGATTATACGACTTTTTTTTTTTACAAATCTTAATTTAATAAAAAAAAATCAAAGATTACAAGTGTCGGTCCAAAAATTCTCAGCAGTGCCAGCTGTTGAAATGTTAGGTTATTTTAAGTTTTGAATACTTCAAGATACAAACTTTATTGGAGTCGTTGATTCAAAAACAAAAACGTTTACAACGTTTTTTTTTCTCCCCACTAATCGCAAATTGTTGTTTTTCGTTTCTAGGTATAAACATAATTAAAAAAAATGTTTATCTAATGTCAGCTTTCTAGGCATTCTACAACATTGTGAGACTTTACATCACCAACTCAGTCCAACCATTCAGTCACAGGAAGCTCCATATATATTGAATATTTCATAATTCCTGGGAAGCCAGGATTTAATTTTCAGTAACCCTGGGCCTTGCCAGAGTAACATTCATCTTGATAGTGATTCCCTGTATGCATTGCACTTATGCAACTAATACAAAGACACTTGTGCCCTTGATCTAGTTTGTGAAATGTTATTGTTTATATTCACAAGTCACAACTCGCAAAAGTACACCATATATACATTTCCCAGGTTGATGCAGGAATGTAGTTACTAATGCTGATTTTTTCTATCATTGGGGACAATCTTAAGTGAAACGTTCTATGAAGAGACCTGTAATTTTTGGGAATGTTTATTATAATACATGAAAGATTTAATTCAGGTTGTGCTGAAGCATTGCATTGAGAGCGGCAATTAAGTTGTTTATGGGGAACTCTGTGATTAGATTATTTGACTTATTATTTTAAGGTGGTGAATTAAATTCCTAGTCGTGGGCAACCTTTGCTTATTTTCTCTTGAGGTCGATAAAATATATACTACATTGTGGGATGTCATTGGCGGTCTTCCCATAGAGGACTGGCTTCTGTCTCGAGAGAATATGGAATTTCCAGCAGGCTCGGGTCCATCACTGGAAATGAGCACAAGCCCATTCCTCATTTGAGCGGAGATTAACTGACTTGTACTGCTGTGTTCAATTCACACAGCCGAATCCTACTTGCTTGGAAATCTTAAACAAACTACACTTGTTTGGACATTTCACGTGTTTCGCATGTGACTTAACGGCACAGAAAAACATAACCTGTATTGCTACAACATTGACACCTGAAAGATAACATTTGTACTATTGTATGTATGCATTTTGAACTTCTTTCACACTGTACGTAGCCAACTTCTGTTCCTCTCAGCCAGTTCCCAAAATGCCATTTGACGTCACATTGCGGTACGTCTCCTACTGTTCACAAGTCTTCATCATTCAAATGTAAAAGAAGCTGTTAAACATTGCAGCCTGCTGATTACTGTTGGAGCAGGAGGGATGGCACAAGCGGTTGGAGTTTGGAAAATGCTTTCCTCAGCAATGTTCCAGGAGACTCCATTGAGGAATGTTCTCCCAACTGCTCTGGTATCGAGGGTTGGAGCACTTTGAGAATTCATGGAAGTGGCTGTCGTAGGCTTAACATATGCGGATGCTTGGATTTAAAGTCCTCCAGTCACCTGTACAATTCACACTGTAATGCCCATTGGTGTGCTCCTACGTGCATAACCACAGCATGTAAGAGTAGGCATTCCGGTTTTAGCAAATAACTTTTGTCACTGCGCACTGGGACTCGCCAACTGTGGTGTGTCTCACGTGGGGAGCGGTGGCGGCGCGGTTAGCACGCTGCGCTACGAACCCGGCGATTCGGGTTCGATTCCCGCTCGGTCAACACTGGTGACGATTTTGTGAACTGGTCCTGGGCCTCCCGTAGGTCGACTCGGCCTCAAATGAGTACCTTGTGCGGTGTGTAAATGTCGCAACTGGGGAGACAAAGGTGATCGGGTGTGGTCCTGGCCATCCACCTCCCTCGTGTGCCGTGCTGACCTTCCCCCCCCCCCGCACCTCCGATTAGCACGGTTGGCTACGTAGAGTGCGAGAGAAGTTCAACATACGTGCTCACTAACAGCACTTGCCCCGACACCCTTTTTAAGGCTATACGTGGCATCTTTGTCCTTGGCGTGTCTCATGGAGGAGAGCTGCCTTCGGTGCACTGCCTGTACACATCCTGGCGATTGACTCGACGTGCTTGTGGTCGCCCTGCACAAAGCAATCTGTAGGTTTGTTGGGCGTGCCTCTCATGCGGGACGCCCAGCATTTAGGGTAGCACCCGCGGGGCTGCGGATCCTGAGACGGGACTGGAACACGGCTGGCCCTGCTGCTTGTCAGAGGGGAGCACTTTGTAGTAAATTATTCTTACGTGCTTGAATGTTGTAAAGGCATTTTTTTCCACCACAGTAATCATGTACGAGTCGGTTGTGTGTTTAAAAAAAAAGATGGCAAATTGCAATAAGTGTGGCCCTGCCAGGTGGTGTTATGTGTCATTTGCCAGATTGAAAATAAGGATGTTTGGGTTACAATTCTTGTCAGTGGTTGTTAGTCTATCATTTTTTCAGGGTGTGTAAAATACATACTACTTTGTTAATAGGGTTTGCCCCTTCCTGGCAATAAAACAGCTGCGTTAAGATGTTAAAACACCAAACTGAAACCTTTGCGAGGAATCATGTCTTCATTATCTACATATATCTTTTTGGTTCTTTCGGTAAAGTCACATAGAAGGGAAGTAATAAAATAATAAAAATAAAACATAATAAAATAATTCTCACGACGTTTCGGCCACAACGCAAGCAGCCGTCCTCAGGTGAAGAACAGGTCTGTCGGAAAGACAGCGTCTGAATGGGCTCTGTCTTTCCGACAGACCTGTTCTTCACCTGAGGACGGCTGCTTGCGTTGTGGCCGAAACGTCGTGAGAATTATTTTATTATGTTTTATTTTTATTATTTTATTACTTCCCTTCTACGTGACTTTACCGAAAGAACCAAGAAGATGAATCCCTGCAGTCACGAAAGCTTTAAATCGAAATTTAACTACATATACTTGTGGTGAACATGCAGAAAGGAGGAAAACCCTACTAACATAATTTAATACTGGCAAAGGAGGTCTCATGGTACATACTACCTTGTGGAAGGTTAACATTGATGATCCTATGAAGAGGCTGGCCTTTGCTCTTCAAATGAGTGCCGATCCATTGCCGGTCTAAGAGGAAAGACTTTACACTTGGTGTTTTGTATGTCGGATAAGCGCCAGTGACAATCCCTTATAGAAACGGGTTTTCTCCAAGTTCCTTGGTTTTTTTCTCACCAATGCTGATGGACAATAGACGTGAAGATACAGGTGATGCAGGTGACACTGATGATGCCACTCCTGTTGATGCTGCTATCTTTATGTATATGTACAATTAACCAGTAGTAGCATTTGCCTTATTTCGGTAGGATTTTGCAGAAATTACAGTAGTCGCTCAGGCACGACCATCTCCATCAGATGTTCTGTACTGTATACGCATGTGTGTGTTTGTGGGTATAATGTATAGTACACATGCAATATTGTCGACTTGGCCTCAGATGAGTACCTGTTGCGGTGTGTAAACATCACCACTGGGGAGACAAAGCCGGCGAGGCGTGGTGCTGGCCACTCACCCCTCGTGTGCCGTGCCGGCCTTCATAGGTGCTCGCTAACACCACTTGCCCCAACAGTCTGTTAGTGTGTGTGTAAATGTGAACACCTAACATCTGGGTCTGCCACGTGACCTCCTGCCAGCAAGCCCCTGCCACAGTGGCAAGGAGGATGTGGCAAGACCTCACCGGATACATCGCCACGCCCACTCGCCCAACACTCGCGTGGGCCACCACGCTCAGGACGCACCTGGCCACACTCGCTCCACCTTTCAGGGCAGGTTGCGGTCCCAGTGGCGGATATAGCCACTGTTGGATTGTAAATGGTGGGTGGGATTGGACCAAATAATCTGTGAATCTGCCACCGAAGGGCACGAAAGCGCCGCCGTAGAAAACGCGCGCGTGAATTGTGGCCCAAATCTCCATCGACGGTTGAGTTCGCACATCATCTCTCCGAGTTTAAACGCAGCTGTTACCACTTTGTACGAAATTAATACTTGTCTTGAGGGTAGACCGTAGAAATGTGAAATTTGAACAACTGGCACGCGGCCTCCTGTGGAAGATGAGCATCGCCCCAACGCAATGGAAACAAATGATCTATTAGTTTTCTATCTACGTGACTTTACCGAAAGAACCAAAGAGAATGGAAATAAAGTTTGATTGATTGAAACGCTCTTGTTTTAACATGGACCGTTCTGAATGCTCCTGTTGTGCTTTCCGCAGTCCAATGGATCGGGGCAGCGCGTGACGCTCGACGCAAACCTGTGGGATAAGTTCAGCGAGCTGTCCACCAAGTGTATCGTGAAGACGGTGGAGTTCGCCAAGCGCATTCCGGGCTTCTCCACCCTGGGCATCGACGACCAGATCACTTTGCTCAAGGCAGCCTGCCTCGACATCTTGGTGAGCAGTGGCATTGACAAAGCTCTCGCCTTGCGCTGATAACTCGTCGTAATCAAGCAAGGGAGCTGTGATGGTAACACTGGCAATACAAATCGAGTTATCGTTCGGCGCCCAAATCTCACACGGCACATTTGGTTGCGTGGCAAATGTGATTAGGCTCGGTTTATTCAATCCTCCCATTGGGGATAAATCAACAGTGGTTGTGCACTGAAGAGACTGATTAAGCCTGGTAACGGTGAATTTCCACCACTGGCCAAAGGTAACCGACACCCATTGTTCATTTGAGCAGAGGGAGGTGCTTGACATGGGCACTGATTTGAAGTTGGAGTTTGTTTTTCACCTTTTTCCGCTTTTTCTAAAAAAAACTGATGACGTATGTCATCCGTTTTTATTCCAGCAAAGTTATTTTGTTTCAGTTTTTCTTCCGATTCTGTTCTGACGAAGTACACGTATGTCACGCGGGACGGCGTAGCACATTTTAGCATCGGCAGTCATAGAGTGCGGTCGTGTAGCTACAGTTCTCTGCGGTGAGTACATTGTGTTTAAAAACAACGGTGCTACGCCTCTCTAAATAAAATTAGCGGTGAGCTGCTTACGCGTTCCGAGAATCAGCGGTGAATGGTACCCGCCCTGCAACTTGCAGACCTCTCGGAACAGGAAAGGGTTATAGTGCTTTTTTTGCATTGCTTGAATGCTTCGTGAAGGTGGCACATGTTCACCTTCATTGGAAGCAGACATTTAGGTGCTTTTTTTTTTCTTTCCCCGCTCTCTTTTGTGCGGAGAAAACGGCAGCAATGCTACCGGAGGGGTACGCTAATGTCGGATTTTAAATAGATCTGTACTCTCCTAGCACTCGCTTGCGAAGAATCGTAAACACGGGACGTGCTGTGAGCCTCTTGTGTCAGACTACTGCCAGAGCCAGCGTTGTCACACACACGTGTGACCTTCGCACTCCCTTGTTTATAATAACGTTTAGCCAGCGCCAAGCAAGACGGATGCATTGTGGAATAAACATAATATAAATAGTCAGTCTGTCGGAGATCGATTTAGCATCGGGAATTAATTAAAAGTAAGAATGGCAAGGGCAGGCAGCTGCTTGGGTGGTGGCAGCAGTCACTGTAAGGGGAAGGGTGGCACATACCACTCGGTGGGGAGCCGATGGTGGTTATTGTTTCGTGAGAAGCGGCCCCGACTTGGGAATGTGGAATTTCCACGAATGGCTCCGAGACTGGCAACGGAGATGAACTTTCACTCATTTGAGCGAAAGTTTGGCCAATAGGACAAAATGTAGCACAAGGACAATGGGAAGTGGTGCAGGTTGCTTGGGGTGCACGGATGATCGGGACTTGGGTAGAGGGATTTACAATTAAGATCTCATTTTTCTACCCAGAGATCGATTAATTAAATGTGGCTCGCATCCAACCAGTTTAGAATGAGATTAGAGTATAAACGTATTGTGCTCCTACGCTCTGTGACCTATAATGAGGGGAGGGATAATGCATTTGTGAACACATGGGAAGGGGGGGGGTACATGGGCACATCACATGAATATCATAAACCCCTGCTCAACGATTGGCAATTCTGTGGACATATTCAACGCTTAATATTTTGACAACAAATCCCCTTCGTTCTTGCACAATGTTATTGCCAGGTTAACATTTGTATTTACAGCACTTTTTACAGCTAAAGTAAAATAAAATGAACGGTTAATCAATACATTATTTTACAGCATTCATGCCATAGGGATGCATACATCCACTGTGTTATTCACGTGAATTGAATCTGGTTTGCTTCCACTGAATAAATATTTATTGTGCGTATCAAAGCTGCTTGGCAGGTGTGTATATCCAGTGATCCCTGCATGTCCGAGATAACACGATACATAGCCTCCCCAGATGCACAGTGCTACGAATCGTACACTGGGAGGGCAGCACTTGATGAATCGTGTTCATATCTACTTTCATCAGTGACTTGGGCTGTCCCCGCACGCCTTGCAGTTCCTGGGTAATATTTTCCGAACGTGTTTCACACTTACGCAAACGTAATTGCATGTACACATTCCACACTGTACCAGTGAAATAATGCTGGGGCTGTGTTGAGCCGGCCGTGTTATGAAGGGTACTTTCAAAAATTAATCACGAAATACTCGAGATTTTATGAGGAACGTATCACACGTGTATTTGGTCTTTTAAATGATCGTAAGCTAATTTTTGTTTATTTATTATGTCTTTAATATATTGTCATTTCAGCTCGGATATAGCAAGCACTCTAGTGTAATGTGGGGCTTTGTATGATCTGTTATGTATTGGCTGCTGATGTTCACAGGTTAACCTAAGCCTTTGTCTAAGATCTATTCACCTCTTTTCATGAGGCTTCGGTATACTTTTAGACTATAAACAAATTTTAATGATAAAAAAACACTGCAATGTACAACCGACATGCTGAAAGACAATATATTGTACTCCAATAATATGTGCTCATCAGTTGCCGCCTCCAGTAATGTGATGACAGCAAATTCATTACTCTTCATCACTGTTGACATGCATCAATAAACACCAATGGGACTATTCGCCGACATCCTTATTTTATTAATGAAACAGAAGCAATGCTGTTGAGGGAGATTAGTGGGGGCATTCTTATTCCTTGGGCAAAGAGTGCCACCTACAGTCAGATTCACGGAACTGTCACTTTTGTAAGTGCACACACCACTACAAAAAGACAGTTCACCCCGTATATCCTATTAACAGACTGTTGGGGCAAGCGCTGTTAGCGAGCACCTATTACGGCCGGCACAGCACACGAGGGGGTGGGTGGCCGGCCAACACCACGCCCAGCCACCTTTGTCTCCCTAGTGGCGACGTTTACACATTGCACGAGGTACTCGTGTAAGGCTGAGTCGACCTAGGGGAGACCCATGACCGGTTCAGATAATCAACACTGGTGTTGGTGGCCGTGAGCGGGAATCGAACTCCGGGTCTCTGCCGGGTTCGTAGTAGCGCAGCGCGCTAACCACTGTCCCACCGCTCCCTCCACACCACCAGAGTACGTATTGTAGGGTCCATCATTGAAGACTCGGGGCAGACATTTTGCTGGCGAGGGCCAGGGGAGAACCTTAGTTGGTGGGGAAGCCGCGTGCTGCGGGCAAATGGAGGGGAGCTTCTGGCGAGAAAGCCGTTAAACACGCGCAGGGCAGGGTGCCCAGATGCAACGTGGTGACCACAGGCTGGGTGGGATGACTCGCTGCCATTGGAGCCCTGCTTCCATGTTGAGATGATCGGCCCTTGCGTGGCTTCCACTCATTCGATTGGGTTGCTTGGGTTTCTTCCAATGTATCACCAAACTAACTCGGTTTCTGTACCTTTTCTGGAGAGATCCTTCAAGCAATTTTGCGATTCCTGTTGCAACACTACGTGCCAGGCAAGGTGACACTCCACTTGTCACACAGCTCCAGTAGCAGTCGGACTGGGGACCATAATTAGTTCCCTCGGGGGCAAATTGTACATATTATTAAATATTATAAAGCAACAACGATAACTGAATTTCCCTTGGCCTTTTCATCGCGTTTAGTGGAGGCTGAGCCTCGACAGTGCCAGGAAACTTGAGCCCTGCTATAGCGTGAGGCTTTTCTTTTCTCTCTCAAAAATATCACTGAATGGTAACCGCATGGTGCCAGCGCTCAATTGCCCAGCACGAGCGGCTCAGCCAAGCTCCAGTAGGCACACGATCAGGCAAAGCTGCCTTATTGCAAAACCATGGGTGGGAAAAAAACATCTGGAGCCCCCCCCCCCCCCTCCAGATTTTAACCGACTGTTAAACCGTTTATAATTCTACAACGGAGGCACATTTCACAAGCTGCTTTTGGGTATTTATGGTCGAGGGTCTCCGCTTAACTCTTGTGTTTTTGAGTATTCATGAAAAAAAAATCAAGGTTTGTCCTGCTCATATGAGGATGAGACGGTGCTTATATCAGTGGGCTACACTGAGCCAGTGGTGGAAATTCCCCATCACTATGGTGGGGGCCAGTCTAAGCAGAGGGAAACTATTCATCAACGTAGAGCAACACCTCTCTGATCAGCAAATGTAATCCTGGACTCTGAATCAAGCTACAGAGACTCCTTATGTACGTAGATTTATTCTTCCTATTATCCGCCTTTTTCACGGATGAACAGGTGTCACTCGTGAGTGATGGTGGTGGAAACTAAATTAAATCTATTAACATGTTTTTTGCATATAACCCAACCGCCCCCCCCCCCCATATAAAAAAAATTAGGCGTTTTATTGTATTACATGAATGTACTTTAAAAATACCAAATTAATGTTTGATATTTTACCATAGTCTGAACCCCTCATTACATTTATTTCTTAAGTCATTTTCTTAAAAAAAAAACACCGCACCTCTCGATTAGCACGCGCTTGGCTACGCATGGCGCGAGAGAAGTTCAACATGTATGTGTGAATGTTGAACTTCCTTCGCTCTGTACCTAGCCAACCGAGCGCTAACCGGAGGCGCGATCAGCACGTGCAAGGTGCGTCACCGTGGCTCTAACTCAGAGGTCGCAACCGGGTACCCGATACCCATACCCTACCCAATACCCGGCTACCCGTACCCGTTTGCGACCCTGGTGCGGCCGGGTACGGGTAGGCCGTGAGTCACTGGTGAGTAACCGTTTGTCACTCATTTCCCAACGTCTTGTCTCTTCTCACAATTCAAGTTCCTAGAATCAACCCACCCGCGCCTGCAACATGGCTTCATCCCAGAGGTCGCAATCAGGTACCCGATACCCGTACCCTACCCGTACCCGGCCGGGTACGGGTAGGGTACGGGTACGGCCGGGTATGGGTACGGGTACCCGTTTGCGACTCTGGTGCGGCTGGTTACGGGTAAGGAATCAAAACCCGTTTGCGACCTCTGCTCTAACTGCTGCCCGCGGTGGCGCGTGTGCTATAATCCCGCGATCGCTCCGCTGTCCCCCCCCCCCACCCAGATCCTGCGGATCTGCACTCGCTACACGCCCGAGCACGACACGATGACGTTCTCGGACGGGCTGACACTCAACCGCACGCAGATGCACAACGCGGGCTTCGGGCCGCTCACCGACCTGGTGTTCGCGTTCGCCGCACAGCTGCTGCCGCTCGAGATGGACGACACGGAGGCCGGCCTGCTGTCCTCCATCTGCCTCATCACGGGCGGTACGTTGACTGCCGGGTGGAAGCTTGGAACCGGGCACGTGGCCACGTTTCACTGCCACCTCCATCCTCTCGCCCTCTTGTCCGTCTGCCTCTCTTCCAATGTCTCTCTACATGTAATCGCGTAACTAAGCTCCTGTTTTTAATCCCAGTTTATAGTAATTTTAAAAGTTTAACACGTAGGCTTTCGCGACCAATATTATATTATTCATAATATAGGTTTTTGACCCAAAAACCAATATTATGAATCATTTTAAAAGTTGTTGGTCAGGTAATCGGAAGAAATTACTTTGAACATATTAACAATATGATATTGTATATTGCAGTACCTCTACAATGTCAATCACTATTCCCGCACCTCTGATTAGCACGGTTGGCTACGTACGACACAAAATACGTTTAACATGCACATGTACAAGTGTAATCTTGTCACTTCTGCAATACCAAGCATGGATAGGATCACAATAGGGTAATTTGCACCTTCAGTGCTTAAATTCGCACCTGGCATGGTGTGTAAACATCAACACACCTCCACGTGCCGTTCCAGCCACTGCGAATTACATCAAATAAAACCGCGCCCAATTAGCACGAGCAGTGCTCTTCATTGCAAGGCCCACAGGGCCACTGGTGGCCCCTGGTGGCCTTTAGTGCGGCCCCTGACGTGCAGCCCCCAACAATACACAAATAGTGACAACACCCCCACATCACCGTGCTGCTGTCAAACCCCCAATTGTTTCAAACGTGTGGCGGCCCTCGCGCCGATGATGTCTTATCGGCGAAAGTGCCCCCCCCCCCCCCACCCACTACTGACGCAGAGGCTAACTGGAGAACCTTTGCCTTTATTTGTACGCAGACCGGCCCGAGCTGGAGCACCCGGAGCGAGTGGACCGGCTCCAGGAGCCGCTGCTGGAGGCGCTCAAGTACTACGTGCGCAAGCGGCGGCCCACCAAGCCCCACATGTTCCCCAAGATCCTCATGAAGATCACCGACCTCCGTGGCATCAGCTCCAAGGGTGCGTCCGTCGTGTAGCGAGACCGGCAATCCGAGGGCCCTTGGGGAAGCCTTGTTTCAGCGAGGCCAACCGCGCAAGCGAGATATACCATGGCACCTGGCGTACAGGAGGTTTTGGGTTCGATCCCGACTGACGCCTGTTGTATATTCGGAGTTTGCATATTTCTCTCCCCGTGGTCACGTGGATTTTTATCCGGTTTAACCCCTCCGCATTTAGAAACGTGTGTTTAAGAGTATTTGGCTGCTATATATTTCCAAGTGATAAGCAACTTTCATTTGGGTTATCATTTGTGGCCAGGTCACTTTTGAAAAAGAGCTGCTATATAGCTCAGTGGGCCTTACCTGGTCAAATAAAATAGATATAACTTGATCTGTGGTTGTCAGCACCAATGGAAACACGTGGCACCAGTTTCCGACCACTTCTTGGCTTTACAAATGCACCAAATGACACCCAGTCTGAACGCGTCTGTCTCCGTGCTCGAAGGATTGAGGGCGTTGGGGCCCTCATCTCCGTTCATGGCCCTCGGCGGCCAGTTATGAAGATGCCGTATGCCGATGGCGGGGAGACAAGGCCTTTTCACGGGACAACCACTGTTGATTTCCCAAAAAAAGAGAAACTCATTGTATCATTCTGGGAGGGATGATGATCTAAGTTAAATCCTGACCCGAGTGGGAATTTGCAGTTGATCTTGAATTGCTTTTGGGAGTTGAGCACACAAGTGAATATGGTTAATTGCTTCATTGGAAGCTTGCAATGTCCTTCAATGTCACCTTCTGTATCTTGATTACACGTTGGAATTCAAGATAAGTGCACGCAGTTCAATTTGGAATTGTGCTTTCATAGCAATCCATAACGTTATTTGCTTATATGTTCGCAAAATATCAAATCCACGGTGGTTAAAAAAGAAAAGCACAACTTGTAAAGTATGATAAATGTAGCATTTTTATTGACCTTATTTATGCGTGGAACTAAATTTGACATGGTCAATGCTTTGCATGTGATATCGTATCGCATCGCATGCCAACAATGTGGAATATGGGGGGAATTCACTCCTCCCGAAATATACCGGCCTTCGCCAACTTGATTTCAAACGAGCGGACCGATTTAATGCGTCCAAATTGGGGAGACAAATGTGATGAGCCCGATAGAATGGAGACTTACACGTGCAGTCATGTTTTTGTAAAACCCATGACCTTAATGTCTAAAGTAATCCAAGTCTATATAATTTATACAGAAAGGAAATGTAATGGTGCACGCCTGTAATCCGGGGCTTTTGATGAGGGATTGAGGGATTGCATCTCATCATGGCAGTCACCCTGATGGCCTCCAAGGTGGTCAGGAGATAGCAAAACGGCAAGAAGGTCACTGACCGATGTGCCTATTTTTCAGTGTTTATACGTTTGCACGTTTGGTTTTCTGTGGTTACTCGGGCTTTATCCCTCTATAGAACAATATTTTAATGGGATGTTGGTCGAACATCTTCAGCAGGAATCCCGCTTGTAATATTACGGATACAATGTGAGGCTTTCACTGGTAAATAACGAATATTGTTGTTATTTGTTTGTTGTCTTCCAGTTACGTAATGCATCGGTTGTGAGTTTAAACCCATGTTGGTGGCTGAATCACCACGTGATCCCTCTAAACGAGTATCAGTGTGTGGGAAGTCAACAGCAGTTTTAAGCTATTGGAGTTTAAACAAAGCACTGCAATGCTAATTTCACCATATCACATTGGTTCCCATAATCCAACCCCCCCACTGCCATAATCGAACATGCATTCCAGTATGGACCAGGGAGGATAGGTGACAATTGGAGATGCCCAGGAAAGTAACTGCAGCTTTAAAAGAAAAGAAAAAAACATTCAGTACCCTGCACCTCCCCAGAACCGTGTATACGAGCACTCACACCCACACACCACTCCTCCTCTGCCCAGGCTCGGACCGCGTGATCACGCTCAAGATGGAGATCCCAGGCTCCATGCCACCGCTCATCCAGGAGATGCTGGAGAACCCCGACGGGCCCGAGGGAGGCTGCACGACCCCACCGCCGCCGCCGCCACAGAGCGAACCCGCGGCCGGAAACAAGGCCCCCGTGCCAGAGCCCTCCGCGGGCAAGACCGGCGGGGCCGGAGCGTCCGGGGGGGGGGGCGGCACCAAGTGTACCAGAGCAAAGGGGGGGGGCAGTGAGGACTGCAGGGCCAGCAGCTCGACCGCCGCTACTGCTGTGACGGCGGCGGCAGCAGCAGCACGTGACCTGGCGCCTCCGTCAAGCAAGGGCGCTCTTGCAAGGTGTTCAACTGGGCCTCAGCCACCGCAGCCGCTTCAGCCGCACGTCAAGAAGTGAACCCCCCCCGCCGCCGCCTCCTGCCGACTGCAGATGCACTAAAAAGATTGTTTATTTTCGTCCCTTATATATGTATAAAAAAAAGGCCTACTCTGAAAGGAAGTCGTATATTTTTTAATTCTTCACAGGCAAAAATGCGGGAAGTAAATGGCGCTTGTTGATGAAAATTGACGGTCGTGTAATTTTTTCAACACAAGGAAAAACTGCAAATGAAGATGGTCATAATGGCTGTTCAAGTCGGCTGCCCGAGGTGAAATTGATCAGACAGTTGTTAATGCTGAAGGACCTGTATATTTATTCGGCATGTGTTCAGATAGTCAAACCTACCGATGATTCCTCCCAAGACTATGATGTGGTTCTGAACGCGACCCACTAAAGGGGAATCAAAATGATTGCAGCTCGGACTTGGAAGGCTCACCTGCTTCAGCGGAAGCTAGTTACCGGACCGCTCTTATTGTAACCTTTTGAGGAATATAGCTGTTCAACAATGGAACATCTGTACTTTTCAACAACAGGACATATAAAGGCTTTGTCTTCTGTGGACATGTGATCACGGAGAAACTTCTTACCGCATGGAGATGATACTCCCACCAGCTTACTCGCACTCAAAATCCAAGCAACATCATCAAATGTCTCCAATTTTTATTGGGCTTTTTTTTATTTGGATTGCAAACACGAATCGAATATTGTTGAGAAATTAACATTTTTAAGAGGCTAATTTTTATACAAAACCTGATTTTTTTCTCTTTGCCACGTTGCAAATTCTCGCTTTTGGCTCTCGATGTGAAAGCACACCGGGTTACACAGCCCTAGGCTCATTAGCACGCTATCAGGGTTCTATGACTGTCGGTTGACATCCATGCATCAGCAGCTCTTAAATGATATTAAACTGACAATGGCGGAGAATAACGAATGGCAGCAACATCATTAGATAGTCACATGACTCCACGATGGAGCCAATGCATTAAGTAGACTGCACCAGCGGGATGACATGAACTTGAGAGCGACCTTCTTTTGTCCTGATTTTTTTACCCTTTCAAATGTCATGTTGAAACCGGTTCGTGTGTGCTATGAAATCGGAGCTCATAACTGTTGCTCATATAGACAGTGCCTCATCACGCAGTACGCTGTTGCTGTGATGCATCTATTATATTGCCTTATAAATATATCGCATCCTATAATGTACTGTATTTATGTTATTTTAGTGCAGTACAAGGCTAAGTGACTTGTATTTTGTATGCATTTTGTGGTTATATTTCAGTGGGGGGGGGGGGGGGGGGGTTGACGTAGGGTACGTGTACTTGTAGTGGATGGTGGTGCAGTTCAGCCTTGTCAATGAGCACAATCCGTTACAGCCAGAGCAGCGTACAAGGAGTGATCCAAAAGTCAGTGGTCTGGAAATGCAGTTTCCAGTTAAAATGAGGTCAAATGACACGATTTTGTACAAATTAAATAACTATTTATCCGTCTCATTCACTGTGACCTATCTTTTCTGTGATTGTCATCCAGATTGCTCTATTCAGTTCTCCCAATATACAGTTTACACGCAGACAAGATCAAGTCGGACACATTCTAAATGTATAGTTAAACAATTGCAATGAAGTCGGTCATCCATTCAAATAAAGTACTGCACTTTAATGTGACTCGTCACCCTTGCAGCGCCGCTCACGTGTCAGGCAGCAGACCTTTCGATCACTCCGCACGTGACAGTTATGAATATATTTCTCTTTGTTATAGAATTTTTTTTAAAGCAATGTTTTTCATGTTATGCCTTTTCTGTTACTGTGATTGGGGGCTTGGGCTTTAACTGATCACGTGAGACACACGGAGTACTGTCATTCTTTGCGTGGCACCAAAACAGTCAGATAATACAAAGCTTTTGCATCAATCGGGCGCGGCGAGCAAAGAATTTGAGCCAAATATGTAGTAGTACTCTGGGGTTGCTGCCTGCATAGCCACTGCGGTCAAGTTGAGCAGCACCATCATGTAAGCTTTGCCTGTTGCGATGCCGCATACAGCACGCTTATGTGAGACAATCCAGCGGAACGCTTTTTGGGGGGTGGGGGAAGTGAATGTGCCAAATGTGTAAACGTGGAGACCCTCGACTTTGCTGAATGAGATTATAATGGGTCATTCAGGTGTTCTTAAACAAAATTCTCTGAAAAAAATGTTTTTTTTTTAGAAATAACTTTTAAGTTGGAATTACCCTGTAGGTTATGTTAATAAAATGCTTTCAACACAAAACTATATTTTTACGCATTTGTTTGCATTGTTGTGGGACCATGTACATGCCTTTTAAGTGATGTTTCATACAGTAGCGTGGGTCCATTATAAAGTTTTTGGGTTAGATCGCGTTATTTATACAGGAAGGAACAACAGGTTCCACACTACCCACCAGGGATTATTTGTCTGTCGTGCATATGGGGAGGGGAGGGTGGGGGCTGGGTGGGGAGGGGCAGGGTGGGGAGGGGCTGGGTGGGGAGGGGCAGGGTGGGGAGGGGCAGGGTGGGGAGGGGCGGGGTTGGGAGGAGTGGGGCTGGGTGGGGAAGGGCTGGTCACCCCGTGGTGCCCTTATAAAACTCAACGTTTAACCTCCACGCTACACCACGACACGATACACTACACTTATATAAGTAGGAACAACAGGTTCCACACTGCCCACCATGGATTATTTGTCTGTTTGTCGTGCACGAATGCGCTGTCCAACCAAGTTCCTACCTGCCCACTCCGAGGAACGTGTTAAATGTGTCGTAACCCTCCACCACCCGACACGGCTACCGGTGTGTTGAAGAGTGTTTCAACATTATTTACAATTTTTGAGTAGTACGACGTTTCGCTGGTAATTACATCCAGCATCATCATGTAATTACCAGCGAAACGTCGTACTCAAAAATTGTAAATTATTTTCTTGGTTATTTCGGTAAAGTCACGTAGAAGGGACTTTACCGAAAGAACCAAGAATATGAATCCCTGCAGTCACGAAAGCTTTAAATCGAAATTGTAAATGATGTTGAATCACTCTTCAACACACCGGTGGGCTCAAGTAGTGAACTTTTGTCAACGTGACACATTTTTTACTGTTTGGCCGTGTCGGGTGGTGGAGGGTTACGACACATTTATAAATCACGCGATCTCACCCCAAAAACGTTTATTATGAATAATATTGGTCGCGAAAGCCTGGTACGTGTTAAAGAAGCGTGGGTGTTTGCGTCCATAGCAGCTGTTCCTTTGGCAGAACGTCGTGTTAACAACGTCGCGTACCGAAAAATAAAACCCCATTGAGCCACACGAAATGGGAGGGGAGAGCCGTTTGGTTCTCCCCGACAGAATCCCATATTCCTTATGCATTTAATTTTTGTTTACACATATACCCTGAACAAGTTTGGTAAATATTCCGCTCCCCCCGTATAGCCTTAACAGACTGGGGCAAGTGCTGTTCGCGAGCACCTACGAAGGGCTGGCACGGCACACGGGAGGAGATGGGTGGCCAGCACCCACGCCCGGCCGCCTGATGCTTGCACACCACTCCAGCTACTAATTTAAGGCTGAGTCAACCTAGAGGAGGCCCAGGACCGGTTCACATTTTTTTTCACCAGTTATAGGTCTCGATTTAAAGCTTTCGTGACTACAGGGATTCATCTTCTTGGTTCTTTCGGTAAAGTCACGTAGAAGGGAAATAATGAAAATAAAACATAATAAAATACAATTCTCACGACGTTTGAATGACGCTGTCTTTCCGACAGACCTGTTCTTCACCTGAGGACGGCTGCTTGCGTTGTGGCCGAAACGTCGTGAGAATTATTTTCTAATGTTTTTTTTAATTTCCCTTCTACGTGACTTTACCGAAAGAACCAAGAAGACAGTTATAGGTCGTGAGAGCGAATCGAACGAGGGTCAACCGGGTTTGTAGCGCAGTGCGCGTACCACCACCACCACCACATTTGGAAGCAACGTCAAATTGGACAGACTGGCTTTTGTCGGGCATAGGCGATGCCCCCCCCCCCCCCATCAATAACCCACGGCATGTGGGTTGTGACCGGGCATGTCTCGCATAACCGGTCTGTGGCCCCGGGGGGCTACAGGGAGCTGCTGGGACACAGGACGGTCTCTCATTGCGTGGGCACGGCAGTGCGAGCTGAGTGAGGGCGGTGTTCTTCTGCAACAAATTTACTGATTTTCAAAGAGCTGCAGAGGCGTGCTGGGGTAGGGAGAGCAGTGACGGATTCAACTAGTGCGGGGCCGCGTGGTATCTGTTATCAAGGGGCCCTAACAAAAATATTAAAACACAACATTTTAACTTGCATAGTAATTGTATTTTTTCATTTGCTATACAGCCAGATAATACGACAAAAATAGCTAACCTTAAACACCCAGTCGTTCACAAAAGTTGAAGGCGGTATAGTACTATAGTAATCGAGCAAGTGCAGAATCACTGAACCGGAATTGAGAGCTTGAAAGCATTTAGCTGGGGGCCCTTGAAAGTGCGGGGCCCGTAGCTACATAGGGAGCGACTTTTGCTACGAGGAGAATCCGGCACTGGGAGAAGGGTGGTGGTGGGTGGGTGCAGTGAGAGTGATGATCAGCAGGCCAGGTCCGCTCGTGCAGGTTGAGACCCAGAGCTGTTTGCACGCGAACGCGATGGAGATCTCACCTCGTTGCGGGTGACAGATATCATGCTGGGGCTCTTGGCCTTGCGAGGTCGTGTATAACATCTCCCTCCGCAGCACGCGGCTGAGATAGCGCCACTGCAAATGTGTCAACGTGTTCCGCCGGTGTGACCGAATGTACATCGCCCCATGTTCTACATGTTGCCACGACAGTTATTGATAAGGGCCACCCTCATGCCGTGCTGGTCGCGAGTATTATTGGACCACACGCTGGTCAGTGCGAGTTGGTGAAGATGAGAGCCATATAAGAAAGCATAAAAGTATAGTACAATATTTTTGTTTATTTTGCTGCAATGCCCTCTCGCCCTATATATATTGTGCATGGCGGAATATAATTGCCCCCTTGTGAATGTAATTGATCCGTGCTGCCTGCTAACTACAGCCTTAAAGGCATGCGAATAATATGTATCCAAAAAAACCGAGTATCCTGAGCAGTCTTCTGATGGTATCTGTAGGTTGTTATCGCATGCGGGTCTTGGGAGACGTAGCCCTTGACTGTTGCCCAATTCATCTTCTTGGTTCTTTCGGTAAAGTCACGTAGAAGGGAAATAATAAAGTAATAAAAATAAAACATAATAAAATAATTCTCACGACGTTTCGGCCACAACGCAAGCAGCCGTCCTCAGGTGAAGCACAGGTCTGTCGGAAAGACAGCGCCTGAATGGGCACCACCAAGCTTGGCAGCGTATATTTAAGCTGGGTTAGGGGAGGAAGGGCGCCTTGACAACGGAATTTGCATATCAAGAGGAATTTAGCATATTTATGGGAAATGCAGATATGGGATTAGCCCAATTGCCCCGTGGGTCGGACCGCAAGCCCTCAGTCTTCTTCACCCAGTTGTGGCTCACGCAACGAATGGCTCACGGCAAGGTGGCGCGGTGGGAGAGGCAGCTGGTGGGTGCTGTTCAACTGGTTCGAACATTTCGATTTAAAGCTTTCGTGACTGCAGGGATTCATCTTCTTGGTTCTTTCGGTAAAGTCACGTAGAAGGGAAGTAATTAAATAATAAAAATAAAACATAATAAAATAATTCTCACGACGTTTCAGCCACAACGCAAGCAGCCGTCCTCAGGTGAAGAACATGTCTGTCGCATTTCACAATTAGCACTATTCGCATTCCTGCATTTCCCATAAATATGCTAAATTCCTCTTCAAATGCAAATTCTTTTGTCAAGGCTCTCTTCCTCCTCCCTCACAGCTTAAATAGACACTCCAAGCCTAAGACGTGTCATTTAGACTCTGTCTTGTCGACAGACATGTTCTTCACCTGAGGACGGCTGCTTGCGTTGTGGCCGAAACGTACACTCACTCTTATTATGTTTTATATTTATTGTGACTTTACCGAAAGAACCAAGAAGATGGTTCGAACATGTCAGCCCCCCCCCCCCCCCGTGCAATGATAGATCGCACACTCGGAATGGGCCATTCATTCAGAGACAATCGATTCATCTTCTTGGTTCTTTCGGTAAAGTCTGTCTTCTCGGCAGACCTGTTCTCCACCTGAGGACGGCTGATTGCGTTGTGGCCGAAACGTCGTGAGAATAATTTTATTATGTTTTATTTTTATTATTTTATTATTTCCATTCTACGTGACTTTACCAAAAGAACCAAGAAGATGAATCCCTGCAGTCACGAAAACTTTAAATCGAAAGACAAGCGGTTGTTCGAAGCCTCCATTAAATGTCTAAAGTCTGTATAACCCGAGGAAGGTGAATAAAGTGTTCTCCAAACTTAACAGATTTGGATAATGCTTCTTTGCTGGAAACTTATAATAACAAGGCTACCAAATTTCGATTTAAAGCTTTCGTGACAGCAGGGATTCATATTCTTGGTTCTTTCAGTAAAGTCACGTAGAAGGGAAATAATAAAATAATAATAAATAAAACATTATGTTTTATTGACTAATAAAATGACTAAAAACATGTTTTTTCACCTTCTTTAAGTGTGGCGATGCAATTTTTTTTATATTGATTCATGGCAGTTACTGGAATGTTGATTTAACACCAAGCTTGGTGGAAAGTATAAATGTGCCCCAATAACTTTGAAGGTGTTAATGCCTCTCCAAAATAGCCTTGCAGCCTATAAACCACTGCGATCAAAGCTAATAGGTAACGTTCTGTCCTTGATAGTTTGTAGCAATAAAATGCAGTATTATAATAACGCACATATAAGATGACAACTTGACCAAGTAACATTGCTATTCCTAATTCAGGAAGCTGATGACGATGTTTCACCCGTATCGAGGTGGAACTGCGCCCAGGTAGAACCACCATGGGGATGTAGCTCAGTGGTAGCGTGCACGCTTCGCATGTGTGAGGCCCCGGGTTCAATCCCCGGCATCTCCACGAGGGGCTATTTTGCCAGTGGACAATTTTACTCGAAGGAATATGCGTGGCTTGTTTTCATTCGTTATGGTTGCTGAGCACAGATCCAGAAGACCAACATGTCAGCAATGAACAGCACTACAATCAAAGTTGTAGTCGATAAGAGTTAACATGTTTATGGCATTCATATTCTTGGTTCTTTCGGTAAAGTCACGTAGAAGGGAAATAATAAAATCATAAAAACAATACAATTCTCACGACGTTTCGACTT